GATTTCCATCCTTATAACCCATTGCTGTCATATCATGAGGGCTCCGGTTGCTCCTCCAGCAGCTGCCTTGATCAGAGGCAGCAGCTTTACAGTTGCCAAGGAAATAGCAGGAATTTCTACAGGATGCCTCAGGGTGATGGTGGGAGCTGGGCGACGCTGAGACCTGGGGCTGTCTGATACTTTGGCCAAAACACCAAAGGGAAGGAATAAAATATGGAAGGTTCAAGCTCCCTGGACAAAATGCTGCTTAAAAAGTCCAATAAAAATCACTGCGAGAAGAATTATTATCAGGCGCTGTGAGATGTCAGGCCCATCAGATTGCTCAGTTTGGCTCAACTTCTGCTGGGCTTTTAAAGAGAGGGCGCCACACGTTGTGAGTGGCTCCTGGAAAGATGGATTGGCCTACTGTAACAGATCCAGGCAGGGAATGGGGAACTCCTGCCTTCAAAGAACACAGGAATCCAAGAGACGCTGTCGAGTCATTTTTCATCCCTCCCAGGTTGTCAGGACTCTTGGTTTGCTCCCAGTCCACGTATAACCCTCTCAGCTTCTAACAAGGCATCCCTTTGCTGAAGCCTTTAGCCCTTCTAAGACTTTTCTGGTTACTGGCTTTACGCAAACCCAGGAAAATAAGTAGAGGATGCAGAGCTATAGCTGCAGGAACTCAGTCCTTTACAGACGGCCTTTCACTGCAAAGACCTCCGAGGGCTGAGAGAGAGGCTGTATCTCTGCTAGCAGCACAGAGGAGAAATGGCAGCTCTGTAGCAAGGCTGCTAGATTTTTCAAATACCTAACCAAGGCCTTGGTCAAATTTAGAGGCACTGGCTTACCCCCAACCTGATCGATGCACTTCTGAATCCCTCTAACCATCCCTATTGGCATTCTCCCACACGTCTTCCAGGCAGAGAGTAGATGGATGTACCGTGGGGAGGGCCATGTTGCGTTATGTAGGGTGCTGCTAAAGGATCCTGAAAAGATGCATTGAACCAGTCTAGCCCCTCTACCCTGCCCCACCCCTCAGACTGCCAGCGTGTTTAGAAAAAGGTAGGTTATCAGCACTTTGGAGGCAATCTGCAATCCCAACCTACCTGCTGCATAGAGTGAATCCCCCTCTGGAGGACCTACCGTTCCCACCTACTGCACAGAGACCAGCTTTTCACTGAAGTGCCCATGTTCAACACCTAAAATAGGCCATGCACCCCCTCATCCTGCTCAAGGGTCCTCCTCGCTCTGTGCTGTGGCCTCGCTCACCCTCTGAGTGCTCTGCACCATGGCAAGGCTCTGCTTGCTGGCAGGCTGAGGGGCCGGAGAGGTAGTTAGCCCAGCCCTGGCCTCTACCCCACCCAGAGCAGCACTTGGCACCGAGCTTGTGGTGGTGACTCCCAGCCTGGTTCTCTTGCGGGTCACACTGCCACAGTGCATCAGCTCAGGGCAGGCACTGATGACCGCTGTAGCCAATCGAGGTGGCAAGTGGAATTTAGGATGGCCGAATGCAATTACCCTAGTTGGCATTTGCCCAGGACAGTGCAAAGGGTTCACAGAAAGGAGCTGTTTCCCCGGCTTTGTTGGTAACCAAAAGCAGGACACAGGCTGGGAGACGTGTGTCACCAGCAAACCACTCCTCATCCCGTGAATTGTGGAGGGAGCAGGGCCGGGGGCTTCCACAGCATTTTCCTTTCAAGCCAGGATGTTGGCTGATAGATACGGATAAATACCACTTCCTCCAAGCCCTCTGCCTGCATTCAGACCCTGCTCATGGACATGCTCTGGGAAGATGCGAGAAGACATGGGGACTGGCAGGAAAAGAAACTGTGAATAAATAACAGAATCTCCTCAGAAAGACCCTTTTGGACTCGTGAATAAGAATATGCCCAGAATAAACGAGCTCCCAACAGGAGCAAAAAGATATCAGGGGCCCCCTGTGGCCAGTTCAAATGCAGGAACACTGCTCAAGTGTCACCTTGTGACACTGGCTCCGAAGGCCGGCAGGCAGCTTAGCGTGGCAAGCTGCGTGCAAAGCTAACCTGAAGGGTCCTTAGGACCATGATGATGGGACGGGGAGGCAATTGTTTAGTCACCCACAAATGCACCTCATGCCCCGCAAGCCTGACCTCAATCAGGAGAGGAGAGGGCTCAAGCTAGGCACTACTTCAGTGAGGGGCCTAGGCATCCACACTTGGTGGGATGTGCCCTGATCCCTGGCCCTTTCCTCCTGGGGCAGGAAGGAGCCCATCGAAAGGGGACTTCACTAAGAACCAGAGACACCCAAGGGCGACTTGGAAAAGCCAACATCTCCCCCACACCCCTAATGACCTGTCTTTCTCACCTTATCTTCTCCCTGTGCTTGCAAGGGGAAGAACGGGACTCTTTGGATGACTGGGACCTGTATTATACCAACCCACATCATTGTGCAATATGCGTCTATGTAAAATGAGATTCTAGCTAAGAGCTCCCTGGTCTGAATGCTTGGTCCTGGTTCTGCTCTTGGGAACCGGCCATGGCGTGAGGAGACCCTGGGATTGCTTGAGGGTAACACAGTAGCTCCACACACATGCAGTTTGCTCTCAAGAGCCAAGGTCCTAGCAGAAGTGGCCATGAGAAGCCGTGGCTGCATATTCTTGGCTGCCAGGCATCCACATTTGTTGGCAGAACCCATGATAGACCCATCGGTGTTCTGTTATGAGAGGTCTACTCTGCCATTCCTGCAATATATTGGGAATAGATCAGGTTGGGGAATGTGTGGGGATAGGGAACTGACAGATCCTGGTGTGGAACATAAGCCCTCAGTGTTCCCAGGCCATAAGACAGAACATTTATTTTACAAGTCATTGCTAGATAGCAGGAGCCTGTGATCAGCAAAATCTGAGGCAGGGGCATGCTGGCTGGGAGCGAGTCTTTGAGCTCCTTCCTGTGCTTCAGGTCGGTGAAGGCACTTCAAAAAGCACACACAAAGCAATAGGCACAAACCCTAGGCGGCAAGATATTTCTTGCTCCTACCTGCCCAAGAGAAGATGCCAAAATACGGAATCATTCCTATTTTGTCTATGGGAGGCAGAACTTGGCTTTTAAAGCAGTCCTCCATAAAAATCCAGGTTTTACCTTCCCATGACACTGAGGACTAAAGGCCTTGTCCCTTTGCTTCCCAGGTTCCTGAGCACACAGCAAAGCACACAGCTTGTGCGAAAAGCTTTGCCACGGGGGCGAGTGCTGGGCTTAGAGTCCAATTCAAGGTGACATCCATCACTTTTAGTATAAAATCCTTAATTTATGAACCTTCCTACACTGATGAGACAAAAGTAAACAGCCTTTATTCCCTGTGTTCTTCACAGACATGGCACTGTTCAAATACCACAGAAATCTGCAAGCAGCTCTAAATCATTGTGCCCAGTTTCTCCAGACCCTCTAAGAGGCTTGTACTGTCATCACTTGTTCAGACATGCCAGACCTCAGGGGAGTTGTGTACAGGCCTCTGGAAAGTCCCTCTGTGACATGGAGGGGGTAGATATTGGCCCCTTTAGGGGCGTAAATCAGAAGAGAGGAAGGTGAAAGACTGGTCCAGTGATGGTGGTAGAGACAGGGTGTACGAAGAGATGCCTTGGGTTCCGTGTCAGCATTACACAGGTAATTTCTGGTGCAAAGACAAAGGGAGGGGAAGATGGGACAACACATGCACCCTGACGTGCCGAAGCTTTCTCAGGATAATCCTCTGTACTGCAGCTTGCATAAAGCTGATAATCCAAATCTGTCTGGACTTCACTGCTGTCCCCAGGCTGCAGCCCCTGAAATGCTCCTGCAGGCCCCAGGGCCTCCTGTGCCAAGCTAAGATGCTTCCCCTTGCTCTTATAGTCACTGGCTTTGCGATACCACTGAGCACATTGGCCACAAGCTAGGCCACTAAACAAAATTATATCCCATCCTCTGAGGACATGCAAAACTAGACATGAGACAATGTTGTCTATAACACACAAAGGCCATATCAGCATTTAAGAGATTGCTTAGCACAAGAAATGCGTGGATCTAGACAAAAAAGAAAAAAAGAAAGGCTCGCGTGCATTTCCAAAGCAGAATGGTCCTGGGAGGTAGAGGGACACTGAGAGTGAAGAATCCCTTTCTCCTGCGCTTGGGGCGTCTCTGACCTGTACCACGTGCCCCAAGCTTTGGGACACTGTAGTTGAGCAGGATCATGACGCTGGGAAAGTAGGCTGCTCTGAGCCCTTCTCCCCCAAGCCGTGTTTGTGTCTGCATGCCCATCAGTCTGA